CATTTCCACAATGGAGAGTCCTTCCTCTAAGCAACATGGAGTAGGCTGACAAAGAAATTGCCATGCGTCATTCCTACTTGGCAATGGCTCTCAGCAAGCAGCCCCAAGGCAGAGGCCTCTGTTCCCCTGCAACCTGCTCTGGTGGTTCCACAGCAGCCTCTTTCTAACTGGATGCCACAGCACAGGACCAGATCTCCATTCCCAATTATGTTTTAGGAGATACCCTTTGCCCCACCCCTTCGCAATCAACCTCCAATGCTGAACCACTCTGCCTGCTACTCATTTGCCATCTGTATCAAAAGTAATGTCCACTTCTATTCCCTTCCTACACTGACCCATGGAGTGAACTGTTTCAATGCAAAGCCTTTTGCTTCAGAGCTATAGCCTCCTCGCTGAAGGTGGGAGCTTTAGGTGCTAGGGGTATTAGAAAAGGGAGCTAACCTCAGGAAAGTAATATTGACACAGAGATCAGAGCCCATTTAGATGTTACATTATTAAAGATTTTTGAAAAGTTACTCTTTTGTGTCTCATTTGCCTTAGGAGGACAGTATCCTTCCGCTGTTTGATGGGGGCACAAGTCTCACCAATACAATGAGAATTGGAGGTTGTCTTTGAAGAGACACATTGAACCAATACTTGCAGATGAGCTCAAATCCCTCCATCCAGTATTTATTGTGTTCAAGCCCTGGGCTAGGTCTTCAAAGGCACTGCTGTTCTGCAGGATGGGAAATACAATTGCCAGAGTGACAGGTGCTGAGGGCACACCGCTATGGTAGTCCACAGTGGCTATGCCACCTTCTAATACAAGAATACTGCAAAATGGCTTATGATTCTTCTCATACTGATGAAGAAACAAGATCCAAGGGCATATATCATCTTTTCTTTTTGTTGATGAGCTAGTTGCCCAATTTACATCTGCCTAACATTAAAGTTCTTGGTCTTTCCACCTTACCCCATGGTATCCCTTCCCTAATCATGTCTTGTTAAAACATACTTGGTGAATGCGTTAGTGTGTGTAGAGTGTCATAAACTTGGTCTACAAAGTGGCTTAGAGGAAGGGCTGCTGAGTACCTCCTAAAATTATACACATAAAAATATCTATATCGTGTATCTTAAGAAATCCATGGTTGCCGAAAAGTTAAGAGTCCCCTATTGCTCTATTTACATGGGAATATTAATAATTTTTATACTTTCTAGAAATGGTCCTAAAAGGAGACACAAAGATAATTATGAGCTATTTGACCCCAACTTAAAGATATGAAAGCCTGGTTCTGTCACAGAAATTTTCTGCACTTACTTTGGAAATGAGCAAACCCACTCACCATATTTGATCTAAACTTTAAATGTAGACTGCCCTGAGGTAGGGCCAGTTTTTGCCTATTTTGTGGAGTGGGGTGTGTGTGTGTGTGTGTGTGTGTGTGTGTGTGTGTGAGAGAGAGAGAGAGAGAGAGAGATATTGTGATTCTCAGAACTTCGTAAACATGTAGTTAATTTTTTCTTTTTTTTCTTGTGTGTGGTGTGGGCTGAAGGATTAGGTCCAGCAACTGTAAAGCCTTAGTCCTATCTATATGACCTCTCTCAAGCAATGGATTTAAGCCTTTTTCTTTTACTTTTTTTTTTTTTAAAGGAAGTGGACTCCTCCCCCTTTGTAAACATGATCTAATATTGTATCTCAAAATATAAAACAGGACCAAGTGGGTCTTCTCTGGTAGAACAGGGGCAGAGGTTCACTCCTCCCTCAACTTGCCCCTTCTTCACCTTGCCCCCTTCAACCCTGCAGATGCCTAAAGCCCAAGACCTACAGTCTTCACTTCTTTAGGCCCAATATTTTAATTCTGAAGGTAGATTCTTTCTAGAACACTTGCTTTGTGCCCACCTTTGTTAGCCCTTGCTTTCAAAGGAGGAAGGAATCCATTAAACATAGGGATCAAAGCATATTTTCTTTCTCTTAAGAACCAAAGGAGTGGGAGGAGGCTTTAATAAGACACAGTGAGAGAAAAAAAGAAATGTTTTATTTAGATAAATTAAAATGGCTGTATCACTGATATGAAATAAAGCTCAAATTGAGTCATGAAAACCTTGAATTCACTCCCTAAACAGAACCAAAATTGCTTATATGTTACCAAAATAGCTCCACTAGAACAAAGTAGATTTGTATTTCTTAATATGCGAAAAAAGGTAGGTTAGGTTTATATAACAAACAATACACGCTCTATAAAGTCTCAGGATACCCAAATGTGTTCTGGTTTGGTTATGAAAGAAACCACATCTAGTTGGTGTTGGCAGGCAAGCCAATGAGGTGTGCAGCAAACAAAAGCTGTCACTAAAAACAACTCAACAGGCCATTACGAGTATGAGCCCATCATAGTCAAAATCCTCAACTGTGACCAGCAGGACCAGCAAGGGGGGCTCTAGGGGTTATGTCCAGCAACTGCAAAGAAAGAAAACTGCAGGAGAATGCAAAACAGCCAACAGCAGGGGAAAGGTCCATTCCTCAGCTTTGTTGCCTCAGACTCATTCCTGAGTGCTAGGTACTCTGCAGTCATCTTGAAGCCAGGCACTTTATTCCTTTGGGTCTTCTCTTTCTACAGTACCTGTTTGCCTCTCTGACTTATGGGGAGGCTATTTAAGTAAACATTATGCCGACACATATATATATAAGGCAATGGAATAAAAGGGTCAAGAAGGTTGTGCTTTGGGAAACTAAGGAGAGAAGTGATAGGAGCTGCCAGAAGGAATAGGTAAAAGAATTTACAATGAATGTCAAATTCATACCACTCACTTCCCAAGCTTTCTCACAGAGCTGAAAATGTGGCAGGTGAGGCTTCACTATAGCCAAACACAAGGCACAGGCTGGGTAAGTGGGGACAGCATATAGATATAAATCCCAAATTAACACTAAGTGATAGGTTTCTGGGGCTTGTAAACTGGAGAGTCTGCTCAACTTGAACAAAGGAAGTTGAGATACCTACCTATCTGGGAGACATGGTAGTTACTCAGGCAGGATGACAAAGGTATCATAGGCCTGAGTGCAGCATCGATGCCTCTGGCAGACTTGGCAGGGGAGGGGTTGGCATTATATACAGCTCAGGGGTGATGCTGGCAGACAAGCTTGAAGTAGGAAGAACAGAAGAGAAACTGAAAAAAAAAGAAACCTTGAGTTTTCCATGGATATAGCTATTGGATGTAAAAGAAAACTACGTACTACAAAGAGTTAAGGTGTCCTGAATGTATCTGCCTATGAATAAGAACTTGAAACTAAAAAGGACAAGGTACATTACCCTCAAGTATATTTCATATAAATCAGTTATCAAAAAAATACCTTCCAGGTACAGACATACTATTTATGGTACAGCATATACAAACATAGCAGTATAATTCAATTTATTGCTAGAACTTTATTTGGTTGTTACAAAATCTGTAAGGGTGTATATATTAAAAAGGAGAAGGGCATGGAAAGCAGCCAGAAGAGCAAAAAATTATCAAGTTTCCTAAAGTGCCAGGCTAATTTTAACTTTTCCATGAAAGTGAAATAACATAGATGGGTAAGGGAAATGTTAAAGAAAAACATTTTAAAAGGGAGAAACATAAGCAATAATGACAAGCAGACACATTCATTAGAAGAGACGCTGTCCTGCTTTAACTGAATTTTAATACTTCTACAAAAAAAATTTAAGGTTAGCTAACACCAAGCTGAATGTAATGTAAAGAAAAAACCAGTCTTTACATGTTTCAGGGTACTGGACTGTTCTGGCTTATAGGTCTTGGACAAATTAAATGAAAAATGAACTCTACTAGAGAAGTTGGTGCCATGAGAGCTTCTCTAGTTTCTCCCTCACTTGACTACAGAAAAGTTAAGTTTTGTAAGTTTTCCTTTTGTGCTACCCAAAGATTGCCTTTGGGAACACAGCAAGTGTAACTCAACATACAAGTGACTTAGACCATTCCTTCCAGTTCCGGGACCTGCTGTGCCAGGTCCATAARGGAGAAGTATTGCACTTGCTACCATCGTATGAAGGCTTCTGTTGTAGTGCCAGCTATAGTTTGGCATCCTCTGGACAGAAAGCCTGTATCTACTTCTGAGCTGATATCTGTAAGRAAACAATATGATTTCACACATTTCATTTCACAACTATTTTTGGCCTTAGTCATCTCATCAAGAAATCCATCAGGTTCTTGGTTGGCTCCCAGGTAAAATCTCAAAGGGGTAGTTTCTTGTTTTAAAAGTAGATGTACCCTTTTCCTCTAATACCCTGGGTGGCTAGTCTGAGACAGTGACTAGGGACTTGGGTTTTGCCATTCAGAATGGAGACGTTACTGAAGGTAGGAGCCAGCTATAGCCTTAAGATAGACTTGTGTAGGTGGATAAGGAAAGATAATATAACTCACTTGAGGGAAAATGTAGCTCCCCACTGGATAACTTTTTGTGTTCCTAAACCCTAAAAGAGGATTAAAAATGAGAAAATGAGAAAAATCCTCAAGAAGACTTCTCTGGTTCACATGTTGGGATTCATTGAGGGAATAGGAATMAACTCTCAGAAGCCAACTTTTTTAAGTATGGAGCCAGCACTGGTCCCACAGCATCCAGTCCCTGAATCAATGCCCCTATCTGCAGGCTAAACCCCATGGCAGCACCTTGTCCTTGGAGGAGGGGATGAGTTAAGTATATGTGAATATAGTTTCAGTTGTTACCCAAATAAGTGATTTTTTWAAATAAGTAATTTGTTCACATCCTGCTTAAAATCATTCTTTCTACTTCCCAAACAATATGCACAATTTTTCTTTCAATTTAAATATTTACAAACAGAAAAKGCCTATCTTTTGAAGACAAGACATTTTCTGAGTCTCTATAAAGTGCAGCTATTTAAGGCAAATTTATATGAAATATAAAAGGTGGCTTTTTCTCTCTGTATATACATTTTCCAGTTTTAAAAGATAAGGTCTCCTCCCCTCAAAAAAAAAAAAAAAAAGAAAAAAGAGGGCTTTATTATTTCTTTTCCTGGCAATTTTAAAATGTAAGATATTACTGGTTTCAGGAAATTATAGATTTCTGAACATCAGATTATAAGTAAAATGGTTTTCTTTTTTAAAAAAATAACTTTTGTATAGCTTTTCAAACAAGTTAGAAGGTGGCAATATGTTTGCTACAATAGTTTGGAGGACTAGAGGGCTGATGCATAAAAGGGTTGTTTCTGTTATGTAAGTAGATTTTAGGTAGTCCAGGGTATACATCCATTCCTAAAATAACGCCTGTTGAGGCTAGACACCTAAAGCTACTCTTAGCTCCAGGAATGAGTATCTTCCATCTCCATTGGAATCAAATGCTCTCAAGCTCTCTGGATCTGGCAAGGTAGAACCTAGAGAGTTCCAGATTTCCTGGTAGGTCAGCTTCCCATCCACATCCTGGCCAGTCTTGTGGAATAAATCCTGAAGATCTGTCAAAAAGGAATTATGAAAAATGTATATATCTATTATATAGAAATTCAATTAAAAATAGGCTCTTACAATATTGAAAAGAAAACTACTTTGCAGATTTGTTTCCAGAGGGTAACATTTAGAATTTCACTAAATCAGACTAATTTTTGATCCTTTAAGAATGAAAGGAATATTATATGACACCTTCCCCCCAAAATACAAGCAGTGGGAGAAATGCATGACCTGACTTTCTCTCTGTCCATGGCCTTCCCTTTCAATTTCCCAGATTTTAATCTATGTTGAAGGAATAGAGGCCTGTTTGATAGATAGGAATTRGTCTATAAAACAGAGTATGATATATTGTAATATTTCTCATTGAATGTCTGAGTGGGGACTGGAGGAATGTCTTGGATATCCATAAGCAGTAAAAATGTCAAAAATTCAAAGTTCTCTGTTTTTTTTAATGTAATTTTTTTATTTATATATGACAGCAGAATGCATTACAATTAGTTCTCTCAGTTTTGATAGGAAAACCAAAGCTCATAAAGGAAAGCAACTTGCCTAAGGTCATATAACTCTTACATGGCTAGATGTAGACTAGTTTTCTTACTATCTATGGAACACTGTCTCTTTGGATCCATAAATTGAGCAGCTTAAGATCCAGGGACTCAAGAATACAATGAGATACCATTTCACAATCACTAGGATGGTTGTCATCAAAAAGTGTTGGCGAGTATATGGAAAAGTGAATTAAATCCTCATATATCGCTGACGAAAATGTAAAATGTGCAGATACTTTGGAAAATAGTTTGGCAGTTCTTCAAAAAGTTAGCAATGACCATCAATTCCATTGTTAGGCGTATACACAAGGGGGATGAAAAAACATCTACAAGACCCTGCACACTAATATTCATAATAGTATTATTCCCAATAGTTCCAATGTGGAAACAATTCAAACACTAATCAACAAAAACCCCCAGAAGACAGACAGACAGACAGACACACACACGCAAAGACTATCTTTCCTTAAAAAAGTTTTTTCTGTAGTTGTAAATGGACAGCATGCCTTTATTTATTTAATTTTTTATGTGGTGCTAAAGATTAAACCCAGTGCCTCACACATGCTAGGCACTGCCACTGAGCTACAGCCCTATCCCAAAAGACTGTGTCTTTTCAAAGCATTGTCTTTCTCCACTGCCCCCCGCACTCCCAATTTTCTTTCTGGTAGCTAAAAAACAGAGCAATGCCACCAGATGATCTGTATTTTTTTAATTCAATTCTCAAGACACTATTTCAGTGAATAGGATTGGAGAATTTCTATCAATAGTCTAACACTTAAAAGGACTTCATTTTGTCCTCACAGTCAAATAGAAGATTTAATTTCTAACACTAAAGAAGGCTTATATTTCTTTAAAAATCTTCCTAAATTCTTTTTTTTTTCTTCATTTATTTAAGACTATACTTACATTCAACGAGCCTTTTGCTGTTTGGTACCTGGAAAGAATGAAAATGTCCCAAAGGGAGGGAAAACCATTGCAGTGCAAATCCAGTCCAAAAATGAGTTCTTGTAAACAACTTCTAAACAGGACCCTACTCTCCTGTCATAGGACCAGTAATGCAGCTAGTAAAACCACAAAAGCTCTCTGAAAACCAGAAAATTAAGTGGAACACTTCTTCCTCATGCCTGCCACCAAGTGGCTAGAAGAAAAAACAATTTTTTTTTTTTTTTTGGTACCATGAGTTTATATAACATGCTATGTATTTTGTAGCAGAACTCAAATAAAAATGATTGCTGCTTTGGGTCATTTCAAAAGTGTCTCAGGCCTATGTTAAAGACTGAAGTACAAATGTTCAGACTGGTATTCCTTAATCTGATTGAACAGCCAGTCTTTCCCTGATTCATACTCATCAATTCTTGATATAGGAGAGTGGGGATACAACTTATGTTGCCCTTCAATGTCGCACTCTCCATCCCCCACACCAAAATAGGACAAAAATCAGGGATAGGAAAAAACAAAATGATAACATTTAAATGGAGATTTAAATCTGTAAGTTATCTATGCTTTAAGTATTAATTGCAGTGTGTAGGTAACACATTAATTTGTTTAACATATTTGTGTGTACCAGGAATTGTGCTAGAGATTAGGGAATGAATAAGACAGTGAATAAGACATGGACATTGTCCATGTAAATTACATTTTATATGACCTCAGGAAATCACAAGAGTGACATGTGCTAAACATGGGCGAATTCAAATAGCAGCATACAGGAGGAGGTTACTCCAGTCCTAGGAGTTAATATTTCCCAGTGGAATTGCAGCTAAGCTAAAGTAAAGGGCAAGAGAAAGGGAGGTGGAAGGAATGAGTGATTTTCCAGGGAATTAGCAAATGCAAAAAGGTCTTAACATCACAATGAGTAGAACACATTATTGGAAATAATGCAAATATATTTTATGTGAATCATACTTCCTATTGTTTATTTTACTAATATTCAGAAAAAGTCCCCTCATTTTTGGAGGGCCCTGAAAAACTGGGTCAATTTTTACTTTATTTTACTACTTTCACATTATTATATTTGCTTTTCTGCCCTCTACACTATACTATGATATCTTTGAGAAAAGAAAGTGAGACTGAATCTTATACTGTATCCTCACTGCTAAGTATGTGGTTTAATGAGGTACTTAGTGAATGAATGAAGCTCATATGAAACATTAATGGGGAAACCCGATGGTATACTGGTTAAGAATGCAAGCTTTGGTGTCATACAGTCTCATCTTGAATTCTGCCTTAACCAATTATTTGCTGTTCAGAGTTAAGACAGTTTCCCTATCAGTAAAATAGGCATAATGCTTGAATACTTATGTTCATAGGAGAGATATCAGGATTATATGAGATGATACATATCAAGTGTCCACAGGAAGTACTCAATAAATATTAGATGTATTTTTTTCATAAGTTAAAAAAATCATTAAAAAGTTATTACTTTAAACACTCCCACAATTATACCAAAGTATAAAAATTTACCTTCAATGCTAGAAATTCCTGGTAGGGAGACAGGCCTTAGTTGGGCAGCTTTCTCAATTTGGTCTCCAAGAAATTGTGAGAATTTTGGCAATGTTGATGGCTTTGATGTGAAACTCTGTACTTGTTCTGTAACAAACACGTTCGCTTTAGTATAATCAAATTAACACCCAATTAAATTAGTATTAAAGGTCACCTTTTAGGGCAATTGATATGTACTTAATTTAAGAGAAATAGTTGAGAATTAAGAAGCACAGTGATATGTGAAGTTAAAGACTTGGATTGAGATGTATATAGACAAGTGAAGGTGAATCAAGATCACATTACATTAAGTTTTCAAGTAGAAGTCCTGCTGGAATATGGGATACAGGTTGAAAATTCCTAATTAAAAAGTTTGAAATGCTCCAAAATCTGAAACTTTTTGAGTGCCAACATGACACCAGTGGAAAATTCCACATGTGACATCCTGTAATGGGTCATAGTCAAAATGAAGGTGGGCTGGGCACCATGGCACATGCCTGTAATTCCAGTGGTTCAGGAGGCTGAAGCAGGAGGACCTTGAGCCTCAGTAATTTAGCGAGGCCCTAAGCAACTTAGTGAGACTCTATGTCTAAATAAAATATAAAAGGGCTGGGGATGTGGCTCAGTAGTTAAGTGCCCTTGGGTTCAATCCCCAGTCCCCCCAACCCCCCAAAAAAGGAGCATAAAAATACCGCATAAGATTACTATCAGGGACTGGGGATCTAACTCAGTGCACAGTGCCTGCCTAGCATGTGTGAGGTCCTCAGTTCAAGCCCCAGAACTGCAGAAAACAAAACAATAGGAAAAAAAAGTCCCCCCAAACAACAACTATCTGACTATGTATATAAAGTGTATATGAAACATAAATAAGTTTCATGTTGAGACTTGTCTACCCATACCCAAAAATATATATCCCAATATATATATATATATATATATATATATATATATATATATTACAAAATCTGAAAATCTGAAATAATTCCAGTCTCAAACATTGGATAAGAGATACTCCAACCATAGTACAAGTTAGCATTATACATATGTAGATGGTAGGAGTTTAAGCAGCCAAGTGACAACAGCATAGAAGCTGGATATTAAAGATCTTTAACATCCTGGGAGATGTGCATAAGCCTGGTCTGGGAATACATGCTACAAGGTAAGTTGGTGCTAAAAGAGGGTCACCATAAGATTATATAGCACCAAATGTTAGGACAAGGCCTCCCATTGTAGTTTGTTTCTCAACCAAAAGAATTCAAGGGAGGCTATATTGCTTTTTCAAACTGAATAATAATTGTTGGAGGAGGGGTCAAAGCCAACACAGTCTAGTGCCTTTGTTATGTCCATAATGGAGGTAAATGCATCTACTAATATTAATTAGTTATGTCCCTACCCAAAGTCAAGCACCCTTCTAAACCAATAATCCTACCATTATATCTTAATGATTTACAGAAAGACTAAAATTTATTTTTAAGTAAATTTTATACAGAAATGAAGAATCCCATAAACAACATTTAGGGCTGGTTTAATATGTTATGACAGTAACATTTTTGCCTATAATTGGATGCAGACAGCATGGAGAAGTCTATTTCCAGCTAAACATTACCCATTCTTCCCTTAATAGACCAGAGTACAAATCATGTACAAAATGGGCTTTTTCTAAATGAAAGCAAAGTGCATCAGCTTCATCTCGGTGCGCTCAGGCATCACTCACTCGGTTCGATCAGTGCTGCTGAAACACCTTTCCCACTCCCTGTGTGGGAGCAAGCTGCCCAAGCCTGCGTGAAATATTCACAAGCCAGCCCAGTGCTCACCTTCATCTGCAATCTCTGGAGGCCTGTTGCTCTCAGGTTTGTTTGTGAGAGCACTGATCAGCTGCAGTTTCTCTCGCAGCTTGGATACCTGAGAATTTGGACTCTCTTCCTTCTGCTCAAAACAAAGATCAAAGAAGGTTTAAGGTAGAAGTAAGATCTCACCTGAGTCTCCACTATTTACCTGACCCTGAGAAAGTTCCCTCTAAAGGCATTGAAGGAATGAATGAACAAATACCAGGGATATCTTTGTTGTTCAGTGTTGATATGTGTCTAGCTGGATTTGAGGCTAGACCATTAAGGCAACATTATGCTCCAGATGATCTGATTTGCTGTGAACATTTGGCTGATGGGAGAAGGCATGCATGATCAGCAAGAAAGAAAATGTACCCTTGCTCAGGTACCTGTATGACACCCATTTCCTAAATGAGGAGGGTATTTTTTTTTAGGAGCTATATCACACGAAGGAAATAACTGTCCTAAATATCTCACATTGCCTTGTGACCAGACCTCTTGAGGTAGAGCTTTATGCCGGCACCACCCTAAAAAACCCCCAAAAAACAAATAAGAAAAAATAACAAAAACAGCTGAACACAAACAAACCACAAGTATTCTTCTATACTTCCCTCTGTTCCCCTATGGTGATGGACAATGGATAGCAACAACTGTCAGAAACATAAAGGAGCTGTAATAGTTTTAATTCAAAGTCTTATTTGTTTAAATCTTTTAAAAAGTTTTCACCCTACACTTTGTTTTATCCCTAGGAAGATCCAGATTGGCACATAAAAATAAATTTAATTATAAAGAGAAAATTCTGCCTTCTATAAGGCCAGTTTCTAACTGCTTATGCTACTATAGAAAGATCTGATCTCACAGGTATTAGAACATCAATTCATCTCACATTTCTTTTATTCARTATGTATTTTTCTCTCTTCTATCGCTACCCTAATAGTTACAATATGTTTGGGTAGAACAAAAAAGAGAAAGGTACAGGTGAAGGGAACTGACTGACACTTAAGTGAATTAATGTCTGTATTAAGACTGCAACCAAAACGCAGGAAATGATTTTGAGGCTGGACACCATTTTTAGATGATCTATACCTTTGCCCTCCATCATAAATAAGCAACTGTTTTAAGTCATTTCCCTAGGGAAGCCTTCCTGATCCCCCTCAACATACCCTATATATTTCCTTTATAGCATTCATCAGACTTATGATTAGTTATCTATGTACTTCTGTGTCAGATTTTTTGACTGATGGACTTTGAGCTTCACCAGAATAAGGATCACATGTCTATCCTGCTCACCATGGCCCTCCCAGCTTGGCACAAGATACATGCCTGATATTCATTTATTCACTAATATACTAATTTACTAATTGCTTTGTCTTGAGGTTTTAGCATGTGAGACCAAAGTGCTCTTTTTGAGAAGAAAGTAGCATGTCACAAGCAGAGAGATGCTGATGCATTTATTTTTACTTTAGGTTAAACTTCCTCTTATTTACCTTTATGTTTTGGGTTTTTATGATATCAGTTCTGTTGGCCCCTTGATCCAAAGACTCTCTTTTCAGAATGGCAGCTCTATCACTCATCTTAGAGGGCAAAAAGAATAAGAGGAAAGATTAAAGATAAATAAACATTAAAAAATTTGAATGACATCTAGTATTTTTTTAAAAAAATGGTCAAACTCACTTAAAGAGTCTAAACACTTTCAAGAGAAATGGCAGAGGAGTGGTAGAATGGGAAGAGTGAGGGAGGAAGGTTACAGAGAGACCAAGTGGAAAATGGTGCTTCTAGATGTTTCAATCACAAACTATGAAGTATAAAAGGTGACAGAATTTTTATCCAGATCTAGGCTGGGTAGGATGCCATTAGAAAAAGTAGTAAGACAGATGTATACTATTACCAGTTTTTTATGTTAGAGAAAAATGAAATGGGAAAGCAGAGACAGTACAGGAAGTTTGAGGGTGTTAAGTTTTCACAAGAAGCCTTGAAACCTTCAAGGTATAACATTCATCAAATCATTCAAGGTTCTCAGCTCCTACTTAGATTAGCTGAGTTCAAAAGGGCTTTAAAAGAATAGGGCTCCTTTAATCTTCACAGCTTTGTAGTAAATTACACACCCCTGTAAAGCAGGAAGGAGAGGAGGAGGAGAGGTCGTCCTATTCTACCCCTCAAAGCCATATCCAGGCAACTTGCCAAGGCTCCACTGTGGCAGAGCCAGTTCAAACACTCCTTGCCATCTGCCAGGGTTTGAATTTGTGTTGGCTTGCTTACAGCTTTGGTGGTTACTTGAATTTATAGTACAGTTTCCTGTATTTGGTTTCATATCTTTACAAAAATATGTATGAAATCTTTTAAGGGTAGGGCCTATAGCTGTTAAGAAAATAATCTACAGGGAACCCATACAATGTATGTAAAAGGTAATTAAAACAAAACAAACAACAACAATAACAACAACAAAACCAAAACAAATCACATTCTATTCATTGAGAACATGAAAACTGCAGAGAAAGGGGGCATCAGTGATTTAGTAGGTTACTTGGTTTCCTTATATTTAAAATGAGGTACTGGACTTGGTCATCTCGTAAGCTGAGTTGATCTGACCTAATCTATTTTAAATAGATTTCCTGACATTATATGCAGAGAGAAGTAAGATAATTCAGAAAGTCAAATTCAGGCTTAAAGAACTAGCCAGGTGTGGTGGTGTGCACCTGGAGGAATCCCAGTGGCTCAGGAGGCTGAGGCCCTAAGTAACTCAGGGAGACCCTGTCTCTAAATAAAATACAAAAAAGGGTTGGGGATGTTGGCTCAGTGGTTGAGCACCCCTAGATTCACTCCCCAGTAACACCCATCCCCTCTAAAAAAAGAAATAGCAGAAGATTTTTCATAACTGTCACTGTCTCTGTTCCTGCTTTAATGACTTATAAAAAAGATCAACAAGATTGCCTTTGGAAGTATGTGACAGAACTTCCCTACCAGTTGGGGCACTGGTAACAATAACTTGTCATTTCTGCCAACAACTTGTGGTGAGGCCTTGACAAACAACCTGATTCTGCCACATCTCTCTTTCCAAATCTAGTCTAGCACTGCTGTGCCATTCACATCATAGACCTAGTGTAAATACTAACACAGACATGGACTAAGCACATTACAAATGTGCAGCCTTTCAAATATGCCAGAAGACTGTCCTCAAAGGTGATGGAACGCCATCTAGATACAAATAAAACAGTGCAACACAAAACACGTCACAAAAGATCTGAAAAGGCTTACCATGCTGGAGGTCAGGTTTGTTGTGTTTTCTACTTCACTCAGAGCAAAAACCACATTGCTTTCTATCAGGTTGGTTCTCTGAATGAGATTACTGAGTGTCTCATTCATCCCCTCGAGTTTAAGATCATTCTGTCTCTGGTATGCTACTAGGGTACTGTTTACCGCCTCTAAAGAGTTATGAAGGTACAGGATATCCTGGAGTGGAAATAAAGCAAGTTGCAGAATCCAGCTAAAGATGAATATTAGGCAAAGCAGAGGAACAACACCAAATAACCATTATTATGTCAAGTTACTGAAGTAAACTCCTTTTCCTGGTTGTGACTATCAATTGTCTGTCTCTGCTTTGTCTCTTCCACACTAAATTGTTCCTAGTTTTCGCCCTCTGGAATTGTTTGATCTCAGTTTGACAGGAGGGGAAGGAAAAGAGGACTACCTACATGATTCACTCTCTGGTCCTAGAAAGCAGAGCATTTGAGAATTAATTTCCCAATGTTTACCTCACCTGCTGGCAGGAAAACCTGCTGGGTTATTAACTTAAAGTTCCATTAACCTAATTTGTCAGTACAAAACTACCTTAGGAACAATACCAATTACTGAATTGGCTTGTAACAAAACCATAACAAGTAGTGCATTATTTAGTACAAGATTCAATTATTTTTATTGACATCCTCTAGAACTGATTGCTACTTAAAAAGGAATGATGACTATAGGTTTTAAAGGGCATTAAACTCAGGACAGAAATTCTTCTTAGTGAAGATTTCCTTTATTCTCTTTAATGTGATTCCGAACTCAATATTCTTTTTTCTCCTCTCTTGCCTTTCGTCTTTAGACTTTAGAAAATCCCGATTTTCAAGGATATGCTTCCTAACATTCTTAGAATTTACTGTGGTTTAAAATAGCCATCACTCTGGATTAATCTGCTATCCATCCATCTTTGACTTGCCTAGATTGCTATTTTTCATAGTTTCAGGATAATCTGGTTATTCTATGTCTTTCAAGATGTGAAAAGGAATTTACTCCATTGATTGACATGTAGGGGAAAAAGCAGAGTGCCAAAGAAAAGACAGGGCAGGATTCTGGATCCCAAGATTTCAACATGCATCCCTCTCTGCTCTCCAGCAAGTAGACAGAGGTTTGATGTGCCTGTTGAGGCACCATGAAGCTAGGCCCAAACTCCTCAGGCTTCCATCACACCCCGTTGTGGGCCACAGATCAAAGGTACCTGTTTCAAATTCTCACTGTGGGTTTTATTATCAAGTTCTGATGTAGCTGAGGGTGCTGGAATGATTTTGTTGCTTCCATTGGTCCAATTTGAGAAGTGCCGATTCTGTTAACATAAACGGAGCTTAGTGTAGGCAACAGTTACTAGGTCTACTTAACTATCTGGGAAGATCCTGTAACATTCTAGCCTCCCCCAGAGTGCACCCACAGATTAATCTATAGGCATTCCTTAAGAATATATAGTGTGACTAGTCTTGTGCTAGGCTTTGAAGGCATCACGGACTTTTGGGGATGTCTAGCCCAAAGCATGGGCTGGAGCAGTTGCACCCAGATTGCCCCAAGAAACTGAGATCCTCCTAGTCTGCTTCTCAGTCTCTAATGGAATGAACTCCCTACAAACCATTTCTCTGCTCCCCCATCACCATACTCCCAGAGAAACTACATAATCACCAGAACATTCCTGTGACCAACTCAGTCTAAATCTTATATACATTTGTTCCTATCAGTGGGAAAAACTGCACAGATTAATCCTTCACAGCCTATAATATGGCTTAGTATAAAGTACGTCAGCAGGAGGATTACTATTGGCAGCCATGGAAGTTTAAAAAGAGGCAGACTTATTTACAACAGAATGTAATTGGTGAGAGTAAACTGTTTTCCTTGAAATCTGACAATGTAGGCATTTATCAACCCTGGTTTTATAAGAAAGAAAAAAAGCAACATTAAAGAGAAAAGGAAGGAAAACCAAKAGTTCTAGAAAGCAAAGCAGACATTTTTTTTTAATTAGGAAAAAGTATTTCAGAAAATGATTAATTACTTGAAAACATGCTCAAGATTAAAGAACTGGTGAGTGAAAGGGGTCTTTATTATTATGGGTCAGAGTTCCTTAGTGGCAGATCCAACTAGAAGTCAATTGTCTCGATGCCTAGATCAATGCTTTTCCCTTTGGGTTAGTTCCCACTAAATAACAAGAATTTTTGTTTTTGAAGAAAATGAAAAATCCTCCCTCCTGAGCTCTCTGATAGAGCTCTGGTCCCCTTGGTACAAACTACCCAATTTAAAACTCAGATCTCTGAAATTTGTAGAGAGCACGTGGGTCAGATCTAGAAATTAGTGTATGTGCTTGTATGTGCTTTGACTAGTCCTGCTTTCATACATATAACTCATCTCTTCAGCAAGACAGTAAGGGCTGTGCCATCCTTTTACACCCTTCACAAATCCTTTTTGGCGCTGTTACCCCTAAGTGATTAATTTAGGTCTCTGAATGATTGCAGACACATGTAACAGCATTAGGAGACCCAGAGACAGTTAAAAACAATTACTGGGCACTGTAGGGGTTTACTTCCATCTTAGCTATTTGTTGCTGCATAACAAATCATCCTCAAACTTTGTGGCTTAAAATAACAATAAACAACAATTATTCTCATGATTCTGTGACTGTGCTCAGCTGAGGTAGGAGGGCTGGTCCTGCTCTATGTGGTATAGACTGAGATCACATGTTTAGCTGCATTCCATCRATACCAGGCTGGAGCTGGAACATCCAAGATGGCCTTTCATCCTCTGATGGCCTCTCAGTGCTTGAGAGTTTAAAAGCCCTGCCCAAATTCCTGATGCTCAGAATAATGAGAAATAATAACTGAGGTGGTTTGTTGTATAGCAATAAATTGAGACAATTTTCCACATCCTTTTCCTTATTTTCTATTTTCCACCCTACCCATTCTATCCTCAGGAACAGTGTTTTCTCACTGTTTCCTCCAGCACCATGTTTGCAAAAGACCCAGTTTTCAGTTTTATTTTCATTAACTGCTTACTTCACAGGCTGCAGAACAGTCAGCACATATTGCTTATTAGATATTTTTAAAAAGTATGTAGAGGGCCTGTTCAGATGAGTGGAAAGTTGGCATCATGACTCTTTTACAAAAAAGGGTGAGAAGCATGCTGCCTTTTTTAGTATCTGCTGATCTCCTTACCATATCACTTTGCAGCAATTCCACGGTTTTCTTGTGTTCATCCACAGTTTTCTGTATTGCCTCCATAGCTAGATGGACACTGTTTAAAGTATTGCCAATGGAAGCTACACTCTGAACAGAAACATGAAAGGATGTCAATTTTTTTCCCTTTTTAATAGCTCTATTAAGATATAACTGACATGCAAGAAACCATATATATTCAAAATGCTTTGATTATTTTGACATAAATATAGCAGTAAAACTTTTACCACAATTAAATCAATAAACACTTATCACTCCCAGAAGTTTCTTCATGCCTTTTGTAATTCCTCCCATCCTATCTCCAAGCAACCACTGATACCCTTTCTGTCACTCTGTATCAGTTGCATTTTCTAGAATTTTATATAAGTAGAACCAGTGAGTGAGTACAAACTTTTAAACTGTGGCTTCTTTCACTCAGCATAATTGAGATTCATTCATGTTGTAGCTACTCAGGATGCTACATTATATCGTATGGTCATATCACAGTTTCTCTACTTACCTGATGATGGACATTTAGGTTGTTTTCTATTTGACTATTACAAATAAAGCTGCTACAAACATTCATCTATAAGTCTTTATGTGGACTTATGTTTTCATTTCCCTTCATCATATGCTTTCTCATCAACACAATAGCTAGGAAGCGAGTCGCTGATAATATGGCAAATCTATGCTTTAATTTCTATAACAATCTGCCAAATCATCTTCTAAAATGGTTATGCCATTTTGCAGTTTTACTAGCAGTGTATGAGAATTCCCATTACTCCATATCCTCACTGAAACTGGTACAATCAGTCCTTTCAATTTTAGCCATTCTAATGGACATACAATGGCATATTGTGATTTTAATTTACATTAAACAACTAACCAAATGTAGATAAGTGTTTTTAATTACTTCAAATATATTCAAACTATGAATTCTAATATGTATAATTTCCTACATATATAAAACTAACAAATTTTCTCAGTTTAAAGAACTTTTTCTAGAGGAAAATAAAATCTTTTCTAAAGAAAAGATATTGGTTTATGTGGGAAGCCATTCTCACACGTGATCGGGTGCCTCCYGTTGAGGGTCTGAGGCACTTTGGCACATGTCGAAGTTTTTCCTGTCCCTCTCCTGATGAGAGAGCCCATCCGTGTGGGGGTGTGCCTGACCACTGACCCCGGGGACCCAATCGCTGACCCTGACCTTGGAGTGCAGCCCCCCCTCAACCTTCATTGGATGGAATTCTCCCCTGAATCTCTGGTTCCCTAATAAAAGGCTACTCCCCGGCGTGCTCKCTCTCTCTCTCCTGCTAGCCCTGAGTAATCCTTGCTGCCCTGCTGGGCGGCTAGAGGAGCGAACCAGAGAGGGGAGCCGTCTCGGACCTAGCAATAAAATTAAGGTAATTGAGTCTTGTGTTTTTATTTCGATCTCGTCTAACTAACTTTATGCCTAGAACCTCATTAATGAAACCACTGCGCAGGCCGCGTGGTAGAGGTTTATAAATGTGGGGCCAAGAGATAAGGTTCATCTACAAACTGCTTCTGTCAAGCCCTGCTGTGGGCAGGCAGATGGCTAGGTACAACACTGTGGACTGCCACTGGGTCAGAGGCAAATGATGACTTTTGAGCAAAAATGGGTAGGAACTATTTTTGGTTCTGAAAAACCCAGCATTGCAGAGATGAAGAAAAATTCCATTTCTATAGAATCCTGTCGGCAACTATTGGGTAGAGCTGAGTACATGGAGTAACTTATTTTGCTTTCATTAGGCCTAAGGAGCCTAAGTGTACTGGGGACAGGATTCAGAAGCCATCTTTTTAAAAAACCCTGTCTTAAGGGAACATTAAAGAATGTCACCATTTGGTGGGTTCTGGCCTTTTATAAAAACTTGCTGACAATTTATAGTGTCATATTAGTATTTTGATTGATTGTTTTGTTTTTTGGTGCTGGGGACTGAACCCAGAGCCTTGCGCAGACAAAGCAAGGACTCTACCAACTGAGCTATATCCCCAGCCCCCCCATATTAGTATTTTTAATCAAGGTAATGTTTTATCATACTGATATACAAGAATCCAAGAGGAAAAAAAGATAACATTTTCAACACTAAAAGAAAATAAATACATGAGACGCATTGAAGTCAGGTCTTTGAGATGACTTACTGCTTCAAAAGTGAGCCACTTGTAATAAAAGCAGTATCTAGCATTACCAATATAAGGATTTGCAAAGACACAAGAGTAGAAGTCTCTAAGTTGGAATGCTATGTAAGCTCTGTTGTTACAAAAGCTACAGGCATTCAAAGACACCTACTGTTAGAGAATCCTCACTGGCTGGATGTATGAGCCCAGTAGGATGCCCGAAGATAGTAAGCTCTTGTTTAGAGATTTTTTTTTTTAAAGAAAGCAGCTGACACAACCATGTAAACTCTGGAATCAAACTCTGAAACTAGTATTGCCACCAACTGCAAAGAGCCTGGTACACACTGGAGGAAGCTGCACAAATATTTGTTGAATTAATGAATGTAAGAATAAGTCAGTTTCCTTTTTTAATGAAAGACTGCCAGAGTTGCTTTTGTACTAATGCCTACAGAGGCCTTTTCCCTACTTGGCTCTTGGGAATAATAGCAAGAATCTGGCTTCATCAAAGATGTCTCTACCTTTTTTTTTTTTTTTTAAATGTTTAAAACAGATCACCATAACAGACAAACAGCAAACTGACAACTGAGCACATATGATGTTGTGTCTATAAAATAGCAAGTTTTGTTTTATTCACGGCTCAGGAATTTCTCACTGTTACTGAAACAACTGAAATTTTTATAAAGACTGGCATATAACTGAATCAAACTTACCACACACGAACTTTGAAAAAAGCCAAAGATCCTAGACTTAATACCCACTCTTTGGGATTCTCTTACTCCTGAATCCTTTCTTCCATTTCCGGATGCAGGGATATTTCCTTATGTTCGGTTAGGTACATTCGTTCCCCTTCCAACCCCCATCCAGTTCTAAGGATTCCTAAGTATCATCCATCTGGTTGGTTCTTGCCTCCTTCTCTAGGTCTGAATCCTACGGATCACGTAAAGAGAAATTCTAAACTAGAATTCTAAACTAGAATCTATGCATATATCTACAAGTGAATTGCTCAGAGGATGTGTACATTTACCTTTATAAAATGTCAAATTGTTTCCCAAAGTTATATTTTTTCCAATTTAAACTCTCAGCAGGAGTGTTTGCTTCACATCTTTAGCAACACTTGCTCCTTAAATTCTTACATTTTACTTTCCTTTACATCTTTTTTTAAGGGAAAATACCCAACTCTTGGCTATCTTTTCCTCTGGAGATGGCCCTCATTCTCCTTTGGATGTGTATCTGATTTCCTAAATACATCTCTCTGTGTCTCTGGAAACAAAAACAAAAACCAACTCTTTTTTTTTTTTTTTTTTTGTGGTGCTGGGATTGAACCCATGGCTTTGTGCATGCGAGCAAGCATTCTACCAACTGAGCTATAATCCCAGCCCAAACCAACTCTTTTTAAACCATGGAAAATAGCAGAGATTTAGGGTAACACTCATGTACAAATGGTTTGCTTTCATAAAGACTACATGAATGAAACACTGAAAAGGCAAGTGTTGAAAAGCAAGACCATAAGCTAACATACGAGTCCCAGCAATGTAAATCTAGGACTGCAATAGACAAAAATGTGTGAACCCTATAAACCATCATTAAAGTAACATGTTGCAAATTAAAGGTCTAATTAACCAGACCAAAACAAAGTTTTCTGAACTCTGAAGAACACAATGATAAGATTCTATTATTGCCTCTCTGAGCAGCTGATTTTAGATGCCAGGCTTTCAAAGAAAACTTTGAAGCTAGAAGTCCTCAGTACTTATATAAAGCACTTACTTTCTGAAGTCCTTCTACAGTGGTAGGCAGGCTAATTAAGTCTGCAGCTGACTTAACATTGGCTTTAAGGTGGTTTACTGCAGAAGTCAACAGAGAAATCTGGAAAGAAAAGGAAAAACAAACAATGAAAACAGAACTCACAGATATGTTTCCTTCACAAACTACAAGGCTGATGAAGTCAAGGTACACTTTCAGTTCACAGGAATAAGGAACTAAAAGTATCTTGGATAGGGTTGAGATTCAGGAGGCAGCAATAATACCCTTTCTTTCCCTGCCCAATTTAAACTAGTGCCAAAGAGGGAAAGAGAGGTTATTATTCTTTATCCTAGTCCTAGCAGTTATAAGGTCTAAAATCTTAAATTACCCAAAAGATGCAGTGATTACATACAATCCTTCAATAGTTAGACAAGAAGAAAGCTAATGATCAAGGACCACTTCAAGGTTTCATTTTGGTAAAATATAACACCCTCAGTTATTTAACTGACTTTTGTTCCAGTCCATGTGGGAACATATTTTATAAAATAAAAGCCCGTCATTACAAAATATAGTCTAAGGAACTATACCTTGACAATTTGAACAGTACTTTCAACTACTTAGGGATTTGGTTTTGGTTTAATAATGTGATTAATATTTCAAACTCAATAACTCAGCCAAAGCACTACTTTGTACCCTGAAGGGGCTCAATAAATACCACTGACTCATTGACTGATTCAATGAATGTATTAAAACAGGAGTTGAATAAAAATAAAATGTGGCTTCTCTTCTGCTACTTAGGGGTAGAATTCTAAATAGCTGAACTTCTCTCTTGCATGAAGACTGGGGTAACTTTTATAATGTTCAATTTCGGGCTGCAGAGATAATATTCTAAGGAGGCTTGTAGTGTAGCTCAAAAAACTTCAAAGGGGGAAGGGAGAGGGCATGGAGTTAGAAATGATGGTGGAATGTGATGGACATTATTATCCAAAGTACATGTATGAAGACACAAATTGGTGTGAATATACAACCAGAGATATGAAAAATTATGCTCTATATATGTAATAAGAATTATAATGCATTCTACTGTCATATATAAATAAAAAAATTAATTAAAAAACATTCTTCAAAGATTCTCAGATCCACACTGCTTTCCTATTTCAAATTCTAGGAYGAGAATTCAGATCTACCAAGCAATGATATTAAGAATGGCCATAGAGTAAACATTTCAGTGTTTCTAGGCACAGGCCAAGGACTGTGGCAGGAACCAGGAGGATATTAGACAAAAAAGAACCATATTCCCTATCATTCCTTCAACAGATGCTTGGCATCTTCTCTGTGCCAAACACTGGTACAGGCACTGAGGAGACAGTGGCAAATAAGATGACAGGGTTCTGCTCTCATGGAGCTTTCAACTCAGCAGAAGGTGACTGAAAAACAAGAGAATCAGAAAGTACTAAATACTATGCAAAGAAGTTAACAGAACTCCTGGAATGAGCAGCAGCTTGGTTTGGGTAAGGGAATCCAATAAAGAACTTGGGAACTCAGGAATTCAAGTTCTCATTTCCTTCTTTCCCTTTAGGACAGGTAAGTTCAAAGACTTGCCCATTTTTCATTCACTTTAATGCAACAAATATTTATTAAACCCTATTATATACCCATGGTGAACAACACAGATATCAGGAATCTTACGATGCTTATGTTTCGGTGCAAGTAGATAAACAATTTCATATAAGAAAAATATCAGATGGTAGACAGCATTAGAAGAAAATTAAAATAACTTGACCTGGTAAGAGTGACTGAATAGCTACTTTCGATCAAATTCAGAGAAGGCCTCTATAAAAGAAAGTTAAACTAAAATCTAAATAATAAAAAGAAATTAATCATACAAAGATTGGATGACGTATATTTCAGGGTAAATTGCTAGGGAAAGAGCTTGACATATTTAAAGAATAGAAAAAAGGTCAGGTGGTAGGACCAAATAATGTGTGTGAGGAGGGTTTGGGGGTGGGAGGTGAAGCCAAAGACGCAGGAAAGGGCCAGAACAGGCAGAATTTTATAAATCAGAACAAAGATATGAATTGTATTTGAGCTATGATGGGAAAAGGTATAGCAGAATCATTACATGACTGAAGATAACCTGTAGGAAGATGACTATTGCTACTCTGTAGACATATGGAAACCAGAAAAAAAGGCAATTTGAGTAGTGTAGGTAAAAGACAATGGTAGTTTGAACTTCAGTGGTAGCAGAGTTAGTGGTAGAAGTTGTGACTGACATGATTTGCTGGGAAGAGGTGAGGAAGAGAGAGGAATTAAGGAAAACTACCTCAAGAAGCTGAGGGGCTAGGGTGTGGCTCAGTGGTAGAGCGTTCACCTAGCACTCGTGATGCCTTGGGTTCAATCCTCAGCACCACATAAAAATAAATAAATAAATAAAAGTATTAAAAAAAAGCTGAGAAAGAGGTCACATTAAACAACTGATTAAGTATTAAATGTGATATTGGATAAAGTTCTGAAATAATATTAGGTGGGAAGGGACAGGCTTTATTGAAGCCTGTCCTAACTCAGACTCTGATGGAAAAGTTAACTTTTATAAACAAAAAGATAAAACAGGCATTCTTTTGAGGTTAGAAGGATGACAGTGGCATTGAGGAATGGGTAATGAACAAACAGCATAAATAAGCTCAGGGGTACTTTTTCTTCATAGTACTTCTCAAGGTGATGACTTATTTATTTGTGTGATTATCTGATTAAGGTTTCTCTCCTCCACAAGACTGTAAGCTTCATGTGCTCAAGGACCATTTCTGCTGTATCTTCCAGAGTATGCTTGTCACGAAGACAGTAATTAGTAGGCATTCGTGGAATAAATGAATGGCTGAGAATAAACACTCTGTCTGGGATGAACCTTGAGATGGGTAGTCCAAGCAGAATAGGGGGAGAGGCCAGGAGGCAGGAGATAAGGCTGATAAGTAGTAAAACTTATTTTTCAATATAGTAGGCATAACAACTACTGTTTAACAACCATATCAGAGGGATGTGTGATGGTTCTAAAATATGTTTACAAAATCTTTGACAGTCTTACCTTCCTTTCCCTTCTCCTTGAGTGAGTTCTGGACTAACCTGACTTGTTTTAGTGAACAGAATAAAATGGATGTAAGAATCGGCAGCTTTGGAAACTAGGTCATACATAAAAGGCATTATGATTTCCTCTCTGCTTGCTGGGATCACTCATTCTGGGAATGCTAGCTGCCATATTATGAGGACACACAAACATTCCTAGGTTGAGGTACATGTTAGGAAGAACTGAGATCTCTTGCTGAGTTAGGCCTTCATATGTTGAAGCCCTGCTGATATCTTCAGTGCAACCTTAGAGATGCTAGTCAAAACCACTCTGCTGAACTACTCTCCAGTTCCCAAGTACAGAAATTCTGATACTGAGTGTTATTGATTTAAGCCACTAAGTTTTAGGACAACATGTAAATCAGCAACAGATGACTAATATAAGTTATGAGGATTAAATACATATGTAACTAAAGCACAGTACCTGGTATAAACAAAACATTAAATAAGCAACAGTTTTTTAGTAGTACAATTTAATGAGCACTTAGGGAATTTTCCATAAGTGTTCCAAAATATTCAGACCACTCATCAGCATCCTAACTCTAAAAACAAAAAAGTGAGAAACCTTAGCCCACAAAGGTAGATTCTCAGCAATCTATAAAACTCTAAATAGAGTAGCAATGACATTAAGAAGGTTTTCACTCAGGCCTTTAAGAGGCTATGAATAATATTAAGATTTGAAAAAGACATAAGGAAAAAGGCATTCTCAGGCATTGTTCACAGGATTATAAATTGGAAAAGCTATGTTAGAAAGTTATCTAGGAACAACCTTCAAAATTTGAAATGTTTATGTCTTTTATTCAGCAATTTCATTTCTAGAAAGCTACCCTGAATATTATTGCTCATGTATACAAAGATATATGCACAAAGATATTAAGGTCTTCCTTATGTGTAATAGCAAAGCACTAGAAACCATCTAAATATCTATCACTAAGAATGAAGATACATGTTCTACAAGTTATAGAACAACACATATTAAGGAATACCACTTATTCCACACACACATGCTAACCAATAAGCAAATTCTTACTAAAAGCTGTCATGGTTTTCTAAATACTTAGGAAGACAAATAGAAAGATGCAGCTCATATTATTGATAATAGACAACTACAGGGGAAGGAAACACAAATGTATGTGTGTGTGTGTGTGTGTGTGTGTGTGTGTGTGTGTGTGAGACAGATCAGGGTACAAACAGATGGGGACTAAATAACAAATAATAAAATTATTTAATAATAATAACAATGAAATGTATTTTATTATTTAAATCTTACTTAAGACTATATTCATATATTATTTATGAAATTTTTAAAAAGAGAAGAGATGAGAAAAAAATACACATATATGAAAAAGTTACCACATAACTTTGGAAGAGGTTTGGAGGGTCTCCTCAGCCGCCCCTTCCTTCCATGCCCTATACTGGACCTTCTAAGATCATCCAATCATAAAGAGGAGGAAGGAATTCACTCACCAAGTTATGTTTTACTCAGTGCCCCACAGTATATATACAGTTGGCTCAAAACCAATTTGATGTGTAAGAACATAGTTACTTCAAATGCCCTATTAATTATGTGATTACCTTTTGGCCACCAGAAGGAACAAATTCCTTCCCATGACAGCTGGCCTTCTAAAGGGACAACAAACTTCTCTGGGTAGAGTGATCTAGGTAGAAACTATTGTCCCAGATTCCACGACATCCTGAGGTTATGGCAGAACTAGTCAGAAGTAGCTCAGGAATGGTTTCGGCCTCACAAAAGGCCAGTGTGGTTATTTAGCAGGTGTCATTTTACCCCAAACCAGAGAAGTAGCTAGAAGCCAATGTAGGTAGAATCAGGTGAGGTACTGTTTCCCCTCTCCTCATAACACAAACACTCTAGGCCTAGGGTTTCAGTTGCACCACTGAAGAGTATGCTCTGAAGAGCTGACCATCAACTTGGCAGTTACCTAACAAACTTAAAAGACCTGGATCGGGATGGGGTTGTGGCTCAGTGGCAGAGCACTTGCCTGGTA